AAATGCATTTGATGTAAGGGAGAGGGAATCGGACCCCTGTGTGAGGGCCAGGGGCGTGCAGCGTTCACACGGGATGCTGAAGTCTGCCCCGGGTACTTGTGGCTCCGGCTGACTGCTGAATTGCAGTGTATGCTACGCTGTGGGCACCCGAAATCTGCTGTGAAGAGCTGCGGTTCTGGTGACGGTACCAGCGGCAGTTTGTCTGTGCTCCCCGTCACCTGGCTCCGAAGCAGCAGCCGCGCAGCCCCACATCGCTGCTACGTGTCCCTTCCGCTTACGGCAGCGGGCAGCCCCTTCTCGGTGGGTCGCTTGGAGCTGGGGCAGTGCAGCGTGAGGCTGAGCTGCCTCAGCCCTGAACAGCTTGCTCCCTGATTTGATTGCACTGGGATGGTGTGCTCAGGAGCTAGCGCAGGCGTGTAGTTTGAAACTGAATAATGTGGATTTTCCTTGACATTTTTCTGATTTTAGTTAGCTGGCTTCACCCTAAGCTTTGGAGATATGGCGTGCTGGTGTTGAAGGGGATGCAAGGCTGATGGTCTGGGCCAGTATCCAGCATGGTGTAATACCAGGTGGCTTGTGAAGGACGAAGACAGCAATGCATTTCTGGGACTGGAAGACGGAGACGACGCAGCCTCTTCACTGCGCTTGGATGTCAAGCTGCTCCCAGCGACAGGGATCCAACCTTCCTCTCCCGGCTGGGCGACTTTCGCAGTTTTCCAAGTCTGCTCCTGACCTGAGCCCACCGCTGCCCTTGGGCAAGCGTGGGGCGGCCGGGCATCGGTGGGTGGGTTGTCGCAGGAGCAGGAGGCACCAGAGCAAGGACGTGCGTGGCAGGGTTGTTCTGGGGAGATGCTGGGGAGATGCTGGGGAGATGCTGCGGATGAATGTCTGTGCTGGAGGACGGGATCCTCCCACCAGTGCTCCGCGGTGGAGGCGTTTTTGGGGGACCGCTGCGCTCGCTGTGCCTGGGCCGTATCTCCCCAGTTCCAACAAGCTTTCTGACAGCTTCCGAGGCTGCTCCCGTGGCTTCGTGTGGATTTGCTTCCGTCGGAGAGGACGGATGCCCCAGGGCCTAGCCTGAATAAAGCTCTGCTGCTGTGGCTGGCAGAAAGCCGCTGCCAGAGAGGTGTGCGTGGGACAGGAGGGTGTAAGCGCGACCGCGGCAGCTCAGCCTCCGCATCGCCGGCCCGGCTCTCGAACTGTCTACAGCTCTAGACGGTGCAGTCTGGAGAGGGGAGACTCTGGCCGGTTTGTTTATTCTCTGCCTACATGGTTAGAGGGGACACAGGTCCTTTCGCCCGGGGTTGTATTTTGGGAAGCTGCTGTTTTATCGGGAGAATAAGGTCTTGACATTGAGCCTTCTAAAAGTGATTTTGGTAGCTTTGCTTTTGTTTTGTTTTGGAAATACTCCCCTTCCTTTGCCGGAGTAAAGAAGCTTAATTTCTATCAACAGAAGTGGAAAAGGTGCTCAGTTCTACTTCTTGCTCATCTTTTCTTTGCATCTTTTCCTGCCCTCTGCAAGCCCTCCTCCCACCCCCCCTAAATCTATTTATGTGCCAGAGCCCCTGACTATCCATGGTCTTTCTGCTTCCCCAATTTCTATTTCATGACATCTACTGAATTTAGGAAATTCTGCAAAACTTCCACAAAGTACATCTGTGCGGGAGCACCTTGAACCACAAGGAACAACAGGAAGGCTGGTGTGGAAGGAACAAAGTCCCGACCAGAGGCAATGGGAGAATTGAGGGCCCTGGAGAAGGTGCTCCGACACATCAGCGGATTTTGGGGGCTTGGAGGAGGGTTTGCAGAGGGCAGGAAGAGATGCAAAGAGAGGAAGAGGGAGAGGATGAGTAAAAAGCAGAATTGAGCAAAAACCAGCAAAGCAGTGGAGAGGAAAAGGAGCAACGTGTAGCTTGGGGCTGCAGAGGTTTGGTTTGGGGGTTTTTTTTTTTTTAGTTGTTTTATTTCAGGTGTCTTATAGCTGCCCTTGAGTGGGTGCCAAGGCTGCACGAGAAATGCTAGGTCAGGATGGGGACTAAATCAGGCTTGTGCTGCGTGCTTCGGCGGTGGGGAATTCGCGTGGCGCCCGCTGGACGCCGCTCCCTCGTCTCTGCCCGCGCGCGGAAGGTGCAGCGGCGCTGGCGGCAAGGTGCCTCCCAGCATATGGCTTTAAAACAGTGCTCAACAAAATTGAAGCCTCTTCTGGAAGGCAGCTCGTAAACCTGCATTTGCATTTTGAAAAACACAGTCATAGCTCACAGTGCAATTTGCTGCAGTAACTTTCTGAGCATTAATGCACCTATGTCCTGCCAGGTCTCCCGTGGTTCCTTTGACAGTTCATCACAGGGCATAGAAATTTGTCAATTTTAATCCACCTCACTAATTTCTAGGTTGTATTTTCTTCTGGTAAAACCCAACGCTGATGTGAGCAAAGCAGAGCAGGTCAGAGAGCGAGCTGGGCGATGTCTGGAGAAGCAGGAGCCGGTGCTCGCCAGCCTTGCCCTCGGCGGGGAAGCCGGAGAGGCACGTCTGCCATCCCGGCCCCGAGCTAATGGCCCCACGTAAGGAGCTTCCCTGTCACTTCGGGCCACGCCAGCAAGTTCTGAGCTCCGCCAGCAATTTTCTGACAGGGGTTAGAGGAGGAAAAGGCAAAGCTCAGCTGAGTGTGGGCAGGGGGAAAAGGAAAAACAGATGGTTCCCGGGACATGCAAGAGCCTTTTTTTTTTTTTTTTTCTCCCCCTTCTCAAGGGCACAGCCTTCGAGCCTCCCAGACGGGTAATTCTTGTTTATACGCCCACAGAAGGTGATGGCCCTTCTTGTGGGCCTATTGGTGTGTCTTTCCAGACATGATGTGTTTGTTTTGTAGGTGGATGTCAGGAGCTGCATCACTGCTTCCTCCCCTTCTCTTTTTTTAGTTAAAACCAGGACAAGTGCGAACGTGGGGAGGCTCGTTGTAGGCGGCGATTCTGCTTTGGCTGGGGCTGTAAGAGCTAAGGGGCTCCTTCCCTTCAGTTGTCTGAGTTTGTCCCATCGGTGGTTGGACCCATGGCATAGTCTGTCCCGCAGCCCCCCTTAACACCTGGATTTCCAGCAGAAGTAGAACCGTCCCTGTGAGGATGAGTAGACGCTGTCCCAGTAACGCCTTCCTTATGTCGCAAGAACCTGTCTGAAGACCGAGGGCCAGGCTGGAGGTGGAGACCAGGAGTTTGGGGCTGGCAGAGGTCCCTGGCTCCTGGTGTTTCCCAAGATCAGGACAGGAAAGGAACAGCACCACGCTATTGTCTGATGCTGGGGAGAAATGAACCCGATTCCAAAACCTGGTGCACCTTTCTAGGTGGAAGGAGAAGCGGTGGCCATCAGACACCACCATTCCCTTTGGTCCTCCATCTGATATTTGGCCTTTTCAACTTTTGGGCGAGAGAGGCTGAATGTGGGGTAGGGGATCTGCTTTTCTTGGCTCCCCTGCACCCAGTGCTTACAATTTCTGTTTTTCTTCCTGGTTTTCCGGAAAGCTGCTATGCAAACATCTTGTTTTACCCTCTGGTGGCCAAAGATGTTGGGCTTTGATATTCCCTCCTACTCTGCAGGCGGCTGGAGGAGAGCATGGCATCCAGTGCTGGGCTGCTCTGTTCGCTTACAGCTTGGGAGAGGGGGTCTCTAGGTGCAGGTTGTTGCTATTTTAAGCTCCCAAATCCTTTCCTTGCCTGCCGTGCGCCTTGCTGGGGCACTTCTCCAGCTTCCCTAGTACTGGAGCATCATGTCAGTCTTCACTGCAGCAGATGAAATAATTTCTATGGCAGCTGTTAGGGCTGAGAGTCCCCTGCCCATACCCCCAACTGCATGCACATAGCATTTTATTGATTTTTTTTTTGTTAAGACTCTGAATTTTCTTTTTTCTTTTTGAAGGAGTTGGAGCTTTTTTGTTCCAGTTCAGAACTGTTCAAAACAGACTCCAAGGTGGGATTAGTTCTTCTAACATAAACGTGTGTCAGTGTTACCAGGGATATTCTGTGGCAGGGCTTTCTATGCCATTGCCGAAGGTCTTAGTTAATTAGATGATTAGTCTTCTGGTCAAGTATCTATCTGCAAATAAAAAATAGCAGTTGAATGTAGCTGCTAAAATACTGTTGCTGGAATCAGTCTGTGGCACAGAGCAGGAGGGCTTCTTATTTAATTAAAATCAGGAACATACTGTACTGTACTCTCCAAGGGTCAAGGAACAAAAGGGACGTACACGTAATAAGCAGCAAACTGTCCTTTCAAACCCCTTGAGCTCAGCCTAGGGGAGCTGTGTTTAAAGGGACGCTCTCAAGATAACATTTATGATATCTCTTCTTTATTTTCTTTTCTTCTTTCTTCTTACCGCTGTGTGGATTATTGAAGCTGAAAGTATCGTGTGATTTTTTTCATTTTCTTCTTACCTGTTCTTCCTCTTGGATTTGAAGTTGTCATCAGGACTGCTTGGATGCCAAAAATCCCTGTGTGCGTGCTCGGTGGCTGGGTTTGAGCTCGCTGGGGTCCCATATCAGGAGCCAGCCTGCGAGCAGCCCCAGTAAAAGGCTGGAGGCAGGTTGGACCGGGGTCCGAGCTATTATCTCAACGTGGTGCGGGACTGGGGGTTACTGGGAACCATTTTGGGGGGGG